AGGAAAAAAAAGAAAGACTGTCTGACAGCTCAGGCAACCTTCTGTTGTCTTTTAACTCTTTATGGAGAAGAGGGAAGTAAAGACAAATGTGGTCCTCTGTCTTCCCAGACCAAGATTAGTCCTTGTAGTTAATCAGTTTTCAGCTGCTATTCAGTGATACCAACCCTTGCTAAAACATGGCCTTTTTTTAGCCGTTTTTCTTGCCACCACTGTAGCATTCGACATTATTGACTACTCCCCTCTCTTGGATTCTCTCTCCTTCCTGGGATTTCATGACATTTTTCTCTCCTCATTTCCTCTCTACCTGTCTGCTAGATCTTATGTCCCTCATCCTCTGTGTATAGATCTACCCCACACCTCTGTCCTGGACCTTCTCCTCTTCTCTGCCCACCCTCATGATCTCAGGTGATTCAGTTGTTCTCTCTACACAAATGGCTCTCCCTGGAGATCCAGTCCCATGTTTTTTAATGATTTCCTCGTATATATTCCAGAGGCTCACATTCACTATGTCCAAAACACTCCCTTCAGCCTCTTTCTCCAGCTTTCCTTTGAACTTTCCTCTTTCTGCCAATGGCATCATTGTATCCTAGAGAGAGAGTTGGGAAGTTCTCCAAAGATTATCCACCACAACTGATTTTTCCCAGGGGAGACACAGCTACTAACTGCCCAAAGTGGGACCTGAATCCAGATCTTCCTGGCTCCAAGTCCTGGCCCCCGTCCATTCCATCATGCCGTCTCCTGCTAAACTTCTGATCAATGTAAGAGTATCTTCATCCCTCAGTCCCTCATCCGCCAGTCTTAAGTTCAGTCTCCACATCTCTTACATTTATCCCCTTCAATTCACACAGCCACCACCTGTTTCAGGCCCTCACCATCTCTTGCTTGGACTACCGCGGTTGGTCTCATTGCTTCCATTTTCTCTCTTCTCCAATTCGTATTCTACACAGCCAAAATGATATTCCAAAAAAATTCAGTCTGACCATTTTATTCCATGGCTCAAGAATCTTGTAGTTCCCTGTTGCTTCTAAGAGAGCCATTTAACACCTTCCACAATCTGGCTCCATCCTATCTTTGTAGACTGATTTCACATTCTTCTCCCATCCTTTATGTTCCAGGAAAACTGGCCCATTTGCTATTTATAACCCATATACAACCTTTAATGTCCCCATTCAAAGCTTTTGCACGTACCATCTCCCATGCCTCAGAATGTTCTCCTTCTCTTCTTCCCCCTCTCCTCTCTTGGAATTCCCTCGTTCCTTTGCTCAACCAAGTGCTACTTCTTCTAGGAAGCGTCTCCTTACTCCCCCCACCTTGTTAATGATGGCGCCCTGGAAATAATTTTACATTTTCTAAATTTACCTGTTTGTGTTCATGTTTCCTCTCAGGAAAACATAAATACCCTAAAGGCAGGGATTGTATCTGATTTGGCTTGATATCCCTCCCACCTAGCACAATGGCTGGAACATGGTAGGCACATTAATAATGTTTGTGCTATTGGGTTGCATGGAATTAAAATATTTTCTTGGTAGGAGATCAACTCATTGATATTTGGCGAGGGATCTGGCCCTCTGTGCCTTAGTTTTCCTGTCAGATAAATGAGCATATCACAATTTACCGTTTAACCATCCAGAATTTTGTGCGGATGAATTAATAGAATATTTCAGAAGTTCACCCCATGTATTATTTATAACGTGCCCATGTAATGTTTGGCACTGGCCTGTCACCATAAAGGTTTTAAACTACGTAAGTGCCAAGAATTATTATTTCCTATTTGAAATCTCCTTCTCCCTGCCCCCCAGAACCTTTCTTTAAACTTTGTGTTCCCAAGCACATCTGTAAGATTTTCATTGACTTTATTAGGAACCTTCATTGTGTATTCAAGGACATGGTTTGACACTATATGATATATTCAGTAATGAGTGTTTACAGTGATTCAGATCTTGATATGAAAATGTCGATGGAGTCCTCAAGGGCAGAAGGCTAAATATAACTACTTCCAACATTTTCCTCTCCACCTATCCAAACCCCAAGCTTGTAGAGCTGTCATTTTTTCTTCCTTCTGTCTCCTTCATTTTTCATTCATAAGAATCAGTGTCTATGAAAGAGCCATCCTGAGCACGCATTCCTATTAGGAAAGAAACAAGAAATATTTTCACAAATGACGTCGAGGTGTATTTGAGTGTGTGCTGAGCTACTGATAGAAACTTCATGATATTTTCAGTGACCGTGGGCAGATGGTTAGCACTCAAGGGGGGTGGAGAATGAAAAAATAATCACAAAAAGACTGTAATCAGATTGTTAGGTGGAGCAGTAAGCAATGAACTGTTCAAGATTTGAATTTAGGAGGCGTACCATGTTTTAAGTACCTTTAATATGACATTTGGGGACTGTTATTTTTGTGTCAAATTGGAAGCAAGATAGGTGCTGTTTATCATTTATAACAGTTCCACATCAAAAAGTTCACCTCAATTTGCCTTGTTTTATTATTGCTCAAGAGAGATATCGTTATATAAGAGAACACTAAAGAAGGACTGACCTTATTTCATTTTTGGGCAGAGACCTAGGTCTAAATTCTACAACTATCTGCAGGTATCATTTCATAGGACAGGGAGCCTTTCTGTGTGTACTTTTATTACTATCATCAGCAATACACACAACCTTTTTGAGCTTATGAGTGTGTTTTTGGAGCTAAGGACTACACAACTGTTCTCTAATAGCTTCCCTAAAGGGAGTGACTACTGTTTTCACAAGTGTAATAAGGTTTGAAAAGACCTTGAAAGATCATCTGTCAGTGTCCTTTGGTCGACCAGATGGACATCTTCCTGAACAGACATCTCATTTTTTTCTTTTAAAAGAGTTTTTGCTATTAATGCCTTTTGTTCTTTTCAAATATAGTTCTTACTCTCCCCACCCAGCAAGCCATTGCTCATAAAAGATAAAATAAGAAAGAGAATAAAAGCAGGTCAGCAAAAACCAGCCAGTGCATCAGCTGGGTTGGACAGAATGTGCAGTGTTTCTTTCCCAGAGTTCCCCGCCTCTGACTTGAAAGCCTTGAGGGAGGTATATTTTCTCAACTCTTCTCCCAGGCTGAACTCTGTCATTCTAAGTATTCAGTTTCATCTTATCGTCCTTTCCATTTCCGTTGTTGTAGTGTAATTGTATCGTTTTCCTCAGTGTACAGTACTCTGCATCAGTTTATACAAGCTTCCCATGTTTCTCTGAATTCTTCATATGCATTGTTTGTTATGGCACAGAAATGTTCTTTTTAAAATTAGGGGTTTTTTTAATTAATAGAAATTGATTTTTCTCTCCCTCCTGCCCCTACCTCCCACCATTGAAAAAGAAAAGAAAAACAAAACTTTGGTAACAGATATTCATAGTCAAGCAAAACAAGTTCACACATTGGCCACATCCAGAAGATTATTTCTCATTCTGTACCCTGAGCCCGTCACCTCTCTGTCACGAGGTAGTCAGCATACTTTGTCATTTGTCCTCTGAACTACTGGCTTATCCTTGTGTTGTTCAGAGTTCTTGAGGCTGTCAGAGTTGTTTTTACAGTATTGTTATTATATAATTTTTCTCCTTATTCTGCTCACTTCCTCCTGCCCAAGTTCATAGAGTTTGGTTTCATCGAAACTATCTGTTTAATCATTTCTGTGGCATAGTAGGATTCCATTCCATTTAGCATCATCATCAAGGTATACAAAGCACTTTACTTTGAAAATTCATTTGATCCTCACAACAGCGGGGTGGCAGATACTGTTATTATCTCAGTTTTACAAATGAGGAAACTGAGCCACAAATAGGGTCACACAGCTAGGAAATATCTCAGGCAAGATGTGAACTCAAGTCTTCCTGACCCCAAGTCCCAGGTGCTGTCATCCACTGTGCCACCTAGCTGCCATAGATATACCATAATTTGTTCAACTATTCCCCAGTTGATGGTTACTTCTTTAGTTTCTAGTTACTTGCTACTCCAAAAAGAGCTGCTGTAAATATTTTTGTGCATATGGGTTCTTTTCTTTTTTTGTTGAGATCTTTGGGGTACAGGCCTTAGTGGTATCTGTGGGTTAGCGACTATGTACGGTTTAGTAACTTTGGAGGTGTGGTTCCAAATTTTCTTCTAGAATGGCTGCACCAATTCACGACATCATGAACGGTGTTACAGTAATGTCCTACTACATTCATGTGCCAACATTTGTTTAGCCATTCCACAATTACCTAGTTTGCTTCCAGTTTTTTTTTTAACACCACAAAATGTGCTCCTGTGAGACTGTTCTTTTTTTTTTCCCCCCTGCTTGGAGTAAGTACATGGTTAACAGTGGTATCTCTAGGGAAAAAGTAAGGACATTGTAGTCACTTTTAAAAGCATAATTCTAGATCTCTTTCCTAATGGCTGGACCAGTGCACAGGTCCACCAGTGGCCCATTAGCATACCTGTTCCTGGCACTTGCTCCAGCAATGACTGTTTCCATCTTTTCCTCTCTCTCTCACTGTTGCCAGGTATGAGGTGGAGCCTCAGACATTTTATTTGCCAAGCATTCTTTCATTTGGTTGTTTATCCAGTAGTGTGCAAGTCTTTTGCAAACGATTTTGATCCCTTTGATCCCTTAACCATTGGGGAGTAACTCTTAGTCTTATATAGTTATTCTGTTCTTTAAAGATTAGTTGAGAAAGAAAAGCTCTCCTTATGAATTTTTTAAAAGCTCTCATAAATGTCTGCCTGGTGAAATCTATGTGTGTTTTTTGAATTATTCCAGATTATAACTTTTTTTAGTGGCTCAGTCTTTGATTGTTGGATGTTAGTGGTGCTTTACTATACAAGTTTAATTTATGCTGTTTTGATATTTAGTCAGCTTGTGAAACAATTTGTCAGAGGATGAATGCATAAGAAAATAAGAGAGAATTATAATTAGGAATGTTTTTCTAAATTTGGGTCTTTAAAAAATCTGTCATAATGAAGTATGTTTTAATTCATTTGTTTTTCTTTGTCCTCTCAGGTGGATCTCCTTATTTAGCAACCAAAATAAATGAAGCAAAAGACTTGCTAGAATCCAGCACCAAACAGTGATGCTCAGGATTGCTATTGTGGAAAGTGGAACTCTGAAAAAAGTTAATAAAGTTCTGCCAAATGAAGCTATCCTATCGCTTTCTAATCTGCACATATACATTGTTCAGCCACAGAACAGACTAATAGTCAAAAGTTCCTGACTGGCTGCCAGCTTCCCTGGTTTCCTTCAAGTCCCAACTGAAATCTCATCTTGGGAAGCTTTTCCCAGCCCCTCTCAATCCCAGTGCCTGGTCTGTTTTAATTATTTCCTGATCATCCCATGCGTAGCATGCTGGTAGCTACCTATTTGCTCACTGTCTCCTCCACCACTAGATTCTGAGCTCCTCAGGGCCTCTTTTTGTGTCCCCAGTGCTTAGCACAGTGTCCAGCAGATAGTAGCTGTGGAACTCAAGTTCTGTCTTAGACTCTAACTAGCTTCATGACCTTGGGAAAGTCATGCCTCAGCTTCTTCATCTGTAAATAGAGGGGAGGTGGACATGATGGTCTCTGAGGTCTGTGACCCTGTGATAGAGCTTACTCCTCCTGACCTAGTGTATTGGAAGACAGTGGCCACGGATGGCGTCTCTTGAAAATGCCAGGGTCCCATTAGTGCAGGAAGATAGAAGGAACTTGAGAGGAAGCAGTCTAAAACGATTAAGGCTTGTTAACAACCCAGCAGAATTCCAAAGGGCACAACGAAAGGCGTGGGCTAAGAATGTCAGGGGATAGGACTGATTAGGATGACAAAGTGGTAGCAATGGGAACCAGTATTCATATAAGTAGCCTGTAATACTGAATCTCAGAGATTTGGAGAGGAGGTAGCCTGAATTACAGACATTGCCTTACCGCCATCATTCATCCATCCTCCTTAGGAATTCACCCCCAAATAGTTTTCCCACCATTTTCTCCTTTTCTATGGAATTTAGCCACCCACCTGGCTCATGGTCTACCTCTCCATCCTAATCCCTGCCTTTGCTCTTGGGAATGTCAATATACATGTTGATATTCACTAAAATACCCTAGTCTCCCTATTCATTAACCTCCTTACCACCTGTGATCTGCACCTTAGATCCATCCTAGCCATGCCCAGTTACCTCGATTTCACCATCATGCAGAACTGTGCAATCTCCCTGACCTGGAACTCTGAAATTCCTCCCTGACCACAACTTAGATCTTTCCATTTTTCCAGTCACTCCTATCAAACCTTTTTTTTTTTTGGGTCGGGGGAAGGTAGCAGAGTTTGTGGGGAGAAAGGGAAAAGCAAAGCAGCTTTATTGGGAATTGTGAAAATTACAGTTTGTCCACAGGTATCTAAAAACTGTTTTGGGGCAACTTCCCTCTTTTGGTCCCCTTCTCCACTACCTAAGTCTGATGGGTGGTTCAGTGGAAAGTCCTGAACATTTTAAATCAGAAGACCTGTGTTCTACTACTAGCTTTGCTACTTACTACCTGTATGACTTTGGGCAAGTCATCATCTCCTAAGTCTCCATTTCTTCATCGATAAAACGAGAGAATTGATCTAGATGGCTGCTAGAGGGCTGTGCTACTTCTAGGGCTGTATCCCAAAGAGATAATAAAAAAGGGAAAAGGACCCACATGTACAAAAATATTTATAGCCGCTCTTTCTGTGGTGGCAAAAAGTTGGAAATTGAGGGGATGCCCACGAATTGGGGAATGGCTGAACAAGTTGTGAATGTTATAGAATACTATTGTGCTGTAAGAAGTGATGAGCAGGCAGACTTCAAAAAAACCTGAAAAGACTTAAATGAACTGATGCAGAGTGAAGTGAGCAGAACCAGGAGAACATTGTGCACAATAATTGCCACATTGTGTGATGAATGACTTTGATAGACTTAACTCTTCTCAGCAATGCAAGGATCTGAGACATCTCCAAAAGTCTCATGATGGAAAATGCTGTCCACATCCAGAGAAAGAACTATGGAGTTTGAATGCAGATCAAAGCACACTATTTGCTCTTTTTTTTTCTTCTATTTTGTTTCGTTGTTTCTTGTGGCCCTTCTTTTCGGTTCTAATTCTTCTTTACAATATGACTAATGTGAAAATAAGTTTAAAAGGAATATACATGTAGAGCCTGTATCAGATTACTTGCCATCCTGGGGTGCAGAGAAAGGTGGGGAGGACAGGGGAGAAAATTTAAAACTCAAAAGCTTAAGGAAGTGGATGTTGAAAACTAAAAATAAATTTAAAAAACATAAAGCGCTGTGCTGAGTCTGTGGTCCTATTGCCTTCTTTGTCATCACTGCAACCTGTTACTCTATTTCTTCCTGCTGTGTCAGTCCATCACCTCTGCTCTGACTTTCCCTTTCCTTCTCTTGATCTCCTCACCCTAGAGGTCATCAGTCCAACTTCACTGTCTTGCCCTCTTGTCCTGTTACTGCTCATGCTTTGCCAAACACCATTAGCGACTCTCTCCATTCCTTCTTGTGTATGGCTGGACACCAGTGGAGCAAATAACACAACTGTGCCAACTGGATGCACTTCAAATTTTTCTAATTTCAACTGCAGCTTCACTGCTATATGGGAATCTTTATTATTCCCTTATTGAATCTCTATTGCACTCCACACCATGGCTGTTCCAAACTCTTATCATCTCAAGCCATTTATGCTATTCATCCCTCCTTTCTCCTCCCTCATCTCTCTCAGCAATGGACTTCATTTCTCCTTTTTGGAAGAACTATGCACTCTGCAGCCCTATGGTTAAAGTGGCGGTATTTGGAAAGCAATTATATTGACTCAAGATTTGTGTATTCGACTCTATAAGGAAGGTCCAAGAGGAGTCTAGAGAAGCAAAGACCTCATGAGACTGTAAAGGGGCAGTATTTAATTATGTAGCCTCCAAGCACCATGCATGAGTGATCCTTGATTTTGGATTCTTGATTTTTTTCCTTGTGGATATTTCTTCCACTGATACAGTCCTCAACTTGTCCATGTTTTCTTGTACAATGTAATTTCTATCTATGTTTTCCCGTAAGTCTAGCATACAGGATCTATCCAACCCACCAGATGCCATCTTTTTTGCTTTTTGTGTTTTTTGGGGTACAAGTGTACTGCCACGTTCATATATTGATTGTGTTTTTGTCTTTCTGGATCACTGGATCACCTCCTTTTACAGCCCTACATAGCCTTGTCTTTTCTACCACTCATGTCATGCAAATTATCTTTGGTAACATGCTCCAGCCTACTTATGCCCGTGATAGTTTTTTTTCCCCCTCCAGTTAACCTTTGGGTTAGTAGTAACCTTAATTCTTCTGAGATCATCGTGTCCCTTGATTCAGACTAACCTGGAGATTATTGGTTTTAAAGAAATGAATGTTTGCAACAGAACGGTAAGTAATTTTGGATTATCGAAAGTATTGTGTAGTCTAATCTACTGTTACTCAGTCCCTATGCCAGATGGTTCTTTACCTTTCCAAGAAATAACAGCAGCAACAACGATAAAAACAATAGCTAGTATTTATGTAGTGCTTTAAGGTTTGCAAAGTACTTTACAAATATTATCTCATTTGACTCTCACAACAACCTTCAATAGTCAACAAACGTTAAAGCACCTACTATGTGCTGGGTATTGGGCTAAGTGCTGGAGGTACAGATACAAAAAAGAAAGTCCCTGCCCTCGAGGGACTTACAACCTAGTGAGGGAAGAAAACATAAAGCTGAGGAAAAGTGGGGTGGGGGAGTGCCTGGTAGGACCTTGGTGGAATCAAAGAAGTCCAAAATGAGCAAAGCTGGAGAACTAGATACTATTTTTTTTTTTTGCTTTTAGGCAATTGGGGTTAAGTGACTTGCCCAAGGTCATGCAGCTAGTAAGTGTCAAGTATTGGGTCTGAGGCCGAATTTTAACTCAGGTCCTCCTGACTTCAGGGCCGGTGCTCTATCCACTGCGCCACCTAGCTGCCCCGAGAACTAGATGCTATTATTACTCCCATTTACAATGAGGAAACTGAGGCAGACAGGTTAAGGGACTTGTCTAGGGTTACACAGGTAGTAAGTGCCTTTGAACTCAAATCTTTCTAACTCCAGGTGCATTGCACCACCAAACACACTAATGGACAGACTGTCTATATAGTTCTATGTCATAGTCTGAGAAAGATGCATTTTTTCATCCATTAAAACAAAAAAAAAAGCATTGTGGAAACATGGATTTAGAAACAGAAGAGTCCTTAAAATACCATCTGATCTGACTCCCTCATTTTTTAGTTAAATGAAGCCATTTGCTCGTGGTCCCAAAGGTAGCAAGTTGCAAAGCCAGGATTCAAACCCAGGCCCTCTGACTTCAAATCCAATCATCTGTCCACTCTATCACACTGCTTCCCCTGGTTAGACCAATAGCTTCTGCATGGCTGAGGCTTTCACTAAGGCAGTTTTCTGTGCTCTGGGAGCTCAGTGTAGTTAAGTACCATGCCATCTGTAAATAAGAGCATTTGAAGAACCTTGCCATTAATAGAGAATCCATCTTTTTGTTTGGACTTTCTGTAGAGGAAGACAGGGAAGGGGAAAGGAACAAGCCTGTTATGTGCCAGCACTATTACATGCCTACTATATGCCAGACATTATTCTTAGCATTTTACAAATATTCATTCTTCACAACACCCTGGGAGATAGGTGTTATGATCCCCATTTTAGAGTTAGGACAACTGAGGCAAACGGAGGTTAAGTGACTTGCCCAGGGTCACGTGTCTAGTAAGTAATCTGATGCTGGATTTGAACTCAGATCTTCCTCTCTCCTATGCCACCTAGCTGCCTCTAATTTCAACTGGAGTCTCACTGCTATATAGGAATAAGACATAGTGCATGCCACTGGCAAGCATCTTAAATATTTATGCTTCTGTATCGGCACCTCTACTTGTCAATCCATTCTTAGATTGTTGAATAAAGTTTTGCATAGACACAGCTGTCAGTCTTATAGTTTTAACGTATATGTGAGGAAAAAAACCTCACCTGGGTAGAGCCTTCCAAGCAATGTTTTGTTCTAAGAAATTGTATGTGTGTGTGTGTGTGTGTGTACATATGTATGTTTACATGTGTGTATATGTGTATATGTATGTATAATAAATACATATATTTT